AATATAGATTAATTAAAAAGTTCAAATTTAATTTTCTTTAAAAATTACAATTAGTTAATTAATTATTATTATTTTATTTAATTAATAAAAAATTATTAAGAAACAATTTTAATTTATTGCATTTAAACACGTCAAAAACTTAATCAGTTTTCAATTAATTAATTAAATTTATATGCAAATTAATCGTAATTAGTTTCGTTCTAGTTGATTTCCTAATTCCTCACTTGAATCATCTAACATTTAAATTAATTTCTGTGATAAATAATCGCTATTAAAGTGATCTTTGTTAGTTAAAAGTCGTGATTTTTTGAACTGTCGCGTCGCGTATCGCGTGTCGCGTCGTAATTTGTTAGTTGAAATTATAGAAAAAAATTTATATTTCTCACAATTTCAAATGTTTAATTATTTTTAATTTATAAAATATATTTTCGTTTAATTTAAAGCAACCTAAATTAATAAATTTAAGTTAGTTATATGACATGAAATCGGAAGCGAATGGATGCGACGAACACGTGTTGTCGCGTCGCGAACTGAAAATAAATATTTTAATTTTTATCATTCTGTTTAACGTGGTAAATATTTATTTATTACAAACACTCAGTTTGTAATAAATAAATAGTTTCTAAATCATTAAATAATAAGAGTTTTATCGCTTATATTTTAATAGTTTAAGCAGTGAGAACAGTCGCATCAGTTAGGCGTCGAGTCCCGTCGTCAGATCAGAACATCTTAATTAAATTTATGATATTTTCATATTAATAATTTGTATATAATCACNTTTTTAACATTTATTATTTATTATTAAGTATTTTTTATTAATTGAAATTGAAATTTATTACTTTAACATTTAATAATAAATTATCAAAAAGTATCGTAATTAATTTATACTTTGGCATTTCATCTTCTCTACTAAATTTTAATTACAAAATATTCTTTATCTTCATGATTAAAGTTAATATGTTTTACTTGGAACAATTAAAAACTATTACAACTATGTAAATAAAGTGCGCGAATTCTTCTTGAAATAACAATACAGTACCTTAATTATCTTCATTTGCTTTTACGGTGAATTGAGAAATTTTATTTTGTTTTTGTACAAAAAAATAATAATGGAAATTAGCATCTTTTGAATATTAAACAGTATTTAACACGCGTGAAATCTTAACAACGTGATGCCATGTGTAAAGGCTTGCCTATGATCGAATGGATAACACTAGTTGTGGGTTCGAGCACTGGTCTCGTGGAATTATTCTGGTTTTTTTCACGTGCCTAACACGTAAATAGAGGTCACTTTCTCATAAAAGTACTCCTGTGAAGTATCCAACGTTACCTTACCCCATTAACCCAGCTAAGTGTGAGACCTTTACATCACCTGTGATCATGTGATGACTGTATTTTTAATGTAAAATACCATCACATTAAGGGTATAAGATCGATTTAGAATTCAATATAAGCTTTCAGTCACATTAATTTTATTCAGGCTTTTTATAATGTTGTAATGTACAGTATATTACAGTTGTATAATGTAAATGGGGTTATGTGAGTATTGTGTTTTATTGGCTCCTTTTATATATTATAATTATAATACCTTATAGTCAAAGTGTATTTATTGTAACCTGGCTCGGGAGGGCTATTAAAAAAGCCGAAATATTAAGTGTTAAAGAAATCGGTGTGCGATAAGTCTGATAATTATAACAATAAGGCCAGAAGGCATATGTGGTTATTTACTACTTTTTAATCAATGTAGAATTTCACCCGTTATGAATAGATTATAAATACAGTGACGTCAACCAGCATAGGTAACTAAGTCACGTTTTTAGTTTGATTTACGTGTTTATGTGTAAAGCGACACGTGGGCAATCTGCAGAGAGGAGATGCCTCTCAGGAGGACTTCCTATGGGAAACTGGCCCCTATTTAGGTATTAATAACGTGAAGAAAATTCGGAAAACACCGCGTGGCCAGCCCGCTGGCCAGACGCAAACCCACGATCGTGTTCGGTGATTTTTATCCACTAGGCCACTGGTGGATACCATATTTTTACATAAATGAAAAGTTTTCGTATTTTTTGAAAAACCTGACTTTTAATCGAATTAAAATCTGATTAATTAATTAAACACAATATACTAACATACTGGGGACTTTGTAGCCAACTACAATTACGTTACTGTCCTGTAACTCCCGATACTGTCTGACACATCCATAGTGTATAGTGTAAATTAGCTTGGTATGAACTGGATCCATCTACGGATTCCTCGTAGCGGTAGGCTAATTTATATATTTTGTTTTAAGCATAAAAATTTAAATATAATTTTATACTTTTTTTCATATTTAAAATAATAATTTTTATATACATTTTTAGTGTATTATTACATTCTTCCTTTTTTTTCCTAATACTTTTGTAATACAAAATATTAAAATTTAAATTCGAAAATTCGATTTAAGATATCGAGAACATTTTACTTAAGTCCGTAAACATTGATATCGAATTTATTTTTTCCTCCTTTAATCCTGAAGCGAAACTTCTTAACATTTCACTTTACCACAAACAAATAAAGCTTCATCCTCTTCAAAATTGAAAAAAAAAGATATAGGAGATTATATATATATATATATATATACAGTTTTCTTTCCACTGAATAAAATTACATAGCATCATTGACATCCATTGAGCATTGTTCGTGTCAGAGTTTATTCTTCATCATCTCCATTTGGATAGCGGCTCTTGAAGCTGCATAAGGAAAATACACTTTTCACCTTGTGAAAACTATAATTTATCCTCTTCTCGTATGTTTTCCTTGTTAAATTATTATTCAAAACACAATTCCCATTATCATATACGCCAAGGTGGTTCTTTGTGAAGCCATGAAAAGAAATGGCACTCATAAGATGTCATGGTCAAAGAAGAAGCGGCAACGTAAAATTTACTGTTTTCTTCTTTAAAAAATTGTTTCTAAGATTAGGTAAATTGTATATACTTACTTGTGCAATGTTTTTTATGGACTGGTTGATCGTTTCGCATGCACCTAATGCTGCAATAAGAAACACGTCCGCAATCTTGACATTTATATCTAGCTTCTTCTTCGCAATGAATGTTGTAACACTTCTTTCCTGTGGAAGAAATGTTTTAAATTTTATANATATTATAAATAAATTTTTGAAATTTTATATGATACATAAACTTAGAAATTGTTCGAGAAATTCATAAAATTTGATTAAAATTTGTATGAATGATGGTAAGTGTGAATTAGGGTTAAAGATTTATAAAAATTAAGTTTTTTTTTTTTATATCTAAAATTGAATTTACCGGGTAAAGGACGAATAATTATGCTGCGTGACGGATACACTTCATCTACTCTAGAAGTATTTTCGTGTAAAGAAAGATCTCTGAAATCTTCTGAGAGGAAGCAATACCTTTTGTCAACAAGTACACTCAATGATTCTTCTTTCGTTAAGTAACTTCTTAATTGGTTCAAAGTGATGGAAAGCTCTTTAGGTACAGTCACTTGACCCATATATTTTACAGCTGTTCTATCTCTGTTTGCCTGACACACGAGATATTTTGTTGTTTCACTCTTTCTGTCTACAAATATAATTATTTTTACAATTATTCTTATATTGTTGTATTGTTATTGTATTAGTATTATATTCAATTATTATTAAATATGCTATTGTTTAAAGAATAAGGTCATTAAATTAGGGAATAAAACGTAAAAAAAAACAAGAGAAAGATCCTTTTGCTGGTGATAAAGAGTGGTGCCATCTATTAGCTAGAAATTAAGCTGTGTCGTAACAGCTACGCGTGCCAGCACGTCACAGCATCACGCGCGTAGATTTGCGATACATTCTACGCGCTGCTCGCGTAGAACGCATCGCATAAGTTTAATATATTAAAATATCTTCGTCTCTTCTCCAACTTTAATTCACCACTCTTATCAATTATGTATTACATAATAATCAATATTAAAGCTATAGAAAGGTGGAGGGATGAAAACATTTCTTTCATTCTTACCATTATTGCCAACCCAAACAACATTCTGCTTGTTGATTTTGTATGCTTTATTGGAATAATTATTACTAAAATAAAGTTATAAAAGAACATTTTAGACATACAACTCGACCCTTCTATAGAAAAAAAATTAAACGATTAATTTGAAAATGGGGTGGTACCAACTTACTTGGAAGTAATTCTTTCGCCAGACATTACCCAATTATTTCTTTTTATATCTTCTTCTCTCCTTTTATTCTTCATACAGGAACACGAAACTAAGTTACTGTTTTTGATTGGAATTTCCTCCAAGCTGTCGTAATTTTGTTCCACCGTGAACACGTTGTAACCAATGTCTTTGTGCGGGATCAAAGGGGAATCAATGGCTCGTCTCCACCTGTTTTCCAAGAATTTCTCTTGCTTTAATTTCTGTCTTCTTCTCGATTCGTTTTCTAGAAGTTCGATTTTGTACCCTTTTTGACTTTTATAATAATTCCTTAAGAGTCTAGCGTGTTGTTTTGGAACGGCGCGTAGTTGCCTCGCGTCGCATCGCTTCGTAAAAAAACCATTCAGACTAATAACAATAATACATTTGCTTTATTATATCCACTAATAATACAAAATACGTCGCGATTTATTCTATATTTTAAATATTTCCTTAGTTTTTATTAAAGGAAACTTATTTTAATACTTTGTTTGCGTTAGTTAGGAAGCGACGCGACTTCGCGCCGAAGCGCAATATAACACGTTAGATGTTTATTATATAATACTTACTGCTTTTGTTCCTGCAGTAGCAATATATCACCACAGCTATAAACAACATAACAAGTGCCACATTTATAATAATTGCAGCGATCCAAGCAACTGGTTCGGATTTTTCTTCAGATCCTGGACGATCATCGTGACTATCGCTCATCTCATAAATCTAAATAAAAATATAAAATAAGTTAATGTATTTGTGTATTAAAAAGTATGTTAAATTATCCTTTACATAATAAAATAATATAAATTTTATGTACTTTCTAAAAAAGCCGCATATATATTTTTTTTCTTTGCGAGTCGCGTCGTTGTCGAGAGTTTCTAGTACTATTATCTGAGCATATATCCCGTTTATAAATATACTTAGTGCTTAAATTAGTATTAAACTGCATAAAGAACAGCAGAAACTCCCCATTAGCCCTGAATTGACTTACTCTCCATTGCTCTGAATTAGCTGACAACACTTTGTATTATGTTTATTGCTTACATTAGTGTTAAGCAGTGTTGTCAGTAATAAAATAGGGAGTTTCTAATGATGCTGTTTTCTGTCTATTTTATAAATATATTTAGTAATTAAATGAGTATAAACTGGATAAATAGCACTACAAATTCACCATTTTACTCCTGATAACACTGCTTAACACTAATGTAAACACTAGGCGTAATTATAAACATTGTTTTCAAAGTAAAATGGGAAGTTACTAGTGTTCTTTGCCCAGTTTAACACTAATTTAAGTACTGAATATATTTATAAACCGGATAAATACTCATATAATTGCGCTAAAAGTTCCCCATTCTGTGAGTCTATCGACTTAATTAATATTATTAGAAATTAAATAAAAACCTAATATAATTTATAAAGATTTTTACTGGTTAATTGAATATAAATTCCCAACAACTTTCGAATAATATCGATTCAAAGTTGATCAAAGTGACTAAAATAAAACCTTGACGTGCAAATCTTATAAAGAAATCTAAAAAGTTCCTAGAAAATACTTTATTTCCTTTCTAAAACAAAAAAAAATTAGAAAATAAAATTAATTTTTTAGAATTTATATTCGTGTTTTATTCACTTTAATATATTCTTTACACGTCGCAAAATAAAAAATTAACTAGAATTTTTCGTGATTTTTGTAGATAAAGGACTGAATTTATTAGTTTATTAATTTATTTTTAATTTATTAATAGTTTATACTAAAAGACATTGCTGTAAACTTATCAAAATTACATCAAATATATTTATAAATATTAAAAACATGCTTAATTAGTTTATCAATAACACAAAAAGTCAAATTATCTTTGTTTATAGGCATAGAGTCGCATCGCATTCGCCGCGCGGAGAACACGACGAATCTTCTCTCACTTCTTAATAATATTTAGAATTTTATAATAATTTATCTCTTTTAAATAAATCGATAATGAGAAATTTAATCAATAACTGAAGAGTTTATAATAATTTACCTGCTTCCATTATATCGTGGATAAATAATCTGCGGTCGCTTCGCGTTAGCGCGCGTTACAAGCGACGCGACTGTATATAACTTAATAACGAATTTAATCATAATTTAAGTTCCTTCAATTGAATAATTTTAAAATTTAGCACACATAATCTTATAAGTATGAAAATTATTTTGACATATAAATTATATTTATATGTTAAATCATTTATTAATTATAATAAAATTTGTAAAAAATGATAGCAGCATGAAAGAACGTGAATTTATACTCAAAACTCCTTAAAAATAATTTTAAAAAAATAAACAAATTGTAATTTAATTAAAACTTTAAATAATGTTTAAAGTATTTTATCAATTAATAGTGAAAAAATATATAAATTAATATATTTAAACACAATTATTGTATAGACATAACACATCAAATAAAAAGAAACGGGTTTAAATGAATGTTAAACTACTCCTTTAGTAACAAAAGTCAACATTTTTCCAATTTTTCGTTTACATAGAACAGTTTCCATGGCTACAAG